CTGCCAACAACATGGGAGGGATGCACAGCAATGTATAAGTATGTAGTCCTCAACTTATGGCTGTTTGTAGTTTATGGCTGCTTAAAAAGTGATTTATGATCTGTCCACAAAGTTACAATCACCACACCACTCCTGTAGTCACATGATCACAATTTAAGTCCTTGGCAACTGATTCACCTTTACAACTGGTTGCAGTGCCCTGCAGTCATGGGATACCTATTTGCAACCTTCTCAGCTGGTTTCTGACAAGCAAAGTCAAGTGGGGAATCTAGACTTGCTCAACAACCATGTAACTTGCTTAGTGACTGGAGTAAAATTATAAAATCCGATCATGTAATGACTTGCTTAACAACTACATTAGTGATCTAAATTCTGGTTTTAATTGTGATTGTAAGTCAAAAACTACCTGTATGAATGTGGCCTACACCTTGTCATTTAGATTTGCATCTATTATTCCCTTTAGACCAAGGGTGTCAAACTCGCAACGTCACGTGACATGTTGTGACATATCACAACTTTTTTTCCATTGCTGGCAATGGGGTGGGCGGGGTTTCGGCGTGACACATCCGGCCCGCGGGTCGGCAGTTTGACACCCCTGCTTTAGAATCATGCCTGGTTATAGTGCTTCAAACTGGTATTCCAGAATACTTTCTTTCAGTAACTTCTACTAGTTGATGATAGGAATTATTACCTATGTCTCTTGTTCTGGTGAAAAGCTTGGAAATAAATTCCCAGTGCCCTAAACCTGCAGGGGAAAATAATCCATGAGACAAATTATTATTTATTAATGATTCTTGCTACTATTTGCTCCCTTGTAAACTAGAAGACATTCCTGTCAATCTCTTTGCATATAAAGTTCTTAACATTACTTCCGAGAAAGTAGAATTATGAGCAAAATTAATGTCTTGTATAAATAAAACATAATATATGACTGTCTTCAATAGATCTTAACACAGGAAATAGATGTTCCTGAATTTTTTATAGCATGCCTCCAAAAATGGCGTAAAAAATTGAAATCTTTCTTTTTATATATATTGATTAGAAACGTTCATAGCACTTTCTTTAATGGGAAGCTAGTAATCATGACTATTTATTACCACTTGCAGCCTCATCCCTGGTTTGGCATTAGGGATGTGTACCTTTCAAGTTCTTTGGACCTTGTGTGATCACATCACCTCTTTACCTTTCATTAACGCATGCTGAGTTTTTTTCAGGCTGATTAGCAGTATGAATACCAGAGAGATGAGCATTTTAAAATTCCTTAGACTAAACCCAAACAAACCTTCAGAGAACTGCCACATTCTCATCCAAATGTAGTCATAGGATGCAATATTATAAAAATGTAGGAAGATAATAAATTACATAAAAAGTAAAGAATAAAAGACTCTAGCAAATGTACATGTATCTATATTAAATATCAGAGTTTTTCACCTTCATATGAATACAGATTTATTCAGTTCTCTTAAACTTGAATCGACCAACATCTGTCCTATTCCTGCAGGTGCAAAAAACAGAACTCAAGGGAGAATTTATGATTAAATGCACACAGGAACAATCTTGGATCTTGTGAATGAGATAAACAGGGGCAACAAACCAGTTTAGCATCACCATTCTGTAATGTACAGGTGTCCACATTCCCTATAATAATTCATGGTTGTAACTTGTTGCAAGGAAGGGTAAAATGTTGCATTGGAGAATGATGTTTCAGTAAAGTTACTGAGTAAAGATGCTCTGTGTCAATTGTGGATGGAGATTCTCTTTTCACCAAATATGCATGCCTTGCATGAATAAGAATATAAGAGAAATAAGAGAAAGGGAGCACAACTATTTTCTTCCTAAGCACTTCTTAATTTTATCACTATCCTGTAGTTGTGGGCCTCATAGCAGCAGGCCTATTTTCAGGTGGAGAAATAAACCCTGGAAGTCTTGCTTGCTTTAAGACATCTTAAATACAAAAAATAATCCCACTCTGTACCAGCAAGTAATTGGCTCAGAGGATTGCTTACATTTTTACAGCAATGGATGTACAAATTTATATTTAAGGACCATCTGATTTCAAACTGCACGCTAAAAAATCAACAGGAATGTACGATCCTAAATACTTAAGCAAAAACTCAGTAAAAGATACAGTAGGCAAACATTGTAGTCAGCTCAGCAGTGATTACCAACTCATGCTCCAAATTCACTATAAAATGAAAATCAATATTTCCACAAGTTCCTGCAACATAAAAGATAACCTTCATTGATTTTTCTAGACTTAGGCCGCTATGATAAAATCTAATATAAATTTTCAACCACAAGGATTTGGATCAGAGCAGAGGTGATAAGTCCTGCACATCTCTTAAGAGGTGGAGAATTTTTTTTTAAAGTGCACGTTCATACTATTTATAATTTGCCCTGTGCTAGTGAAAGCTTTTCCACCGGTGCTATCAGAAATCTCTTCTAATTTTTATTACTGTGAGGCTAAAGCCTGTTCCAGATAATTTGGAAATTTCAGGGGAATTGTGATAGGGCTGATGGTGCAGCCCAGGCTGACTTGAGAAAAGAGCTAACCCGTAATAGCCTCCATGGCCGTGCTGATTAAATGTTGCCGTAGATGAAAGGGCTGCCATTGCTGCAATAAATTAACTAATCACACAAATCCCAAGTCAGTGCTAATCCTTCCTTGATACTCTGATCCTCTGATCAGCTCAAGGAGGTAAAGAAACTGGCTTGTGACGCTTGAAGTTCTAACCTCTGGATTTCATGTACACAACAAGCTAATGATATCTTGCTGACCAGTTCAATGGGATGAACTTCTCTCAGAACCCTTTGGGAACTCTGTGGCCTTCTTTTAAAAAAAAAAAAAAAAAAATTGACACGTACAGGGCAGATTTTCAGTTATTTTTCTGAGAAACCACAGAAAGCCCGTGAAACATCTGTGAATTAGCATAAGCAGCAGAAAATACCCAAATGTTGAAGATATTTACATCTTAGGAAAGTAGGTGATGAACCAGGAAAGAACTGAGATATTAAAGGGCAGCTAATTCATTCCTATGGAATTCCGCAACATTCATTCTGAAAGATAAACTTCTTACTTTGCCTGAAATGTTGGAAAAGATATCTATAATGTAAAGAAGATGGAATGCATACATTTGCACACATATATGTTATACTGAGTGTTATTCTAATGAAAGGTAGGTAACTTATTTAATCAATTAACAGAAAGTCTGAACAAGATTTTCCCATTTGAATTTCCCCTTTTGAATAATGGGTTTCCAACACCCACAGCATATTTTATTATAAATTTGGAAACTTTTTTCAGTGTTTTAATTAGTTGCTAGAGTTTTCTTCTGTACGTGTTTCATTTAAACAGTTTTGGATGCTTTTCATTATATCTCTTTGTCAGTTCTACAAAATTAAAACTTACTTGTTTTCTTCTTTTGTTTCCCAATGAATCTTCACATTTATTTTTACAATATTTCCAGAATCAAACAAACCATCTGCTTTTCTTTCTAAATTTCTAAGTGTAATTTCTAGGTAATTTAGGTAACATAATATATTGAAATGTGGAGTATAATACCTAAATGAACATCCATCATGTTTTGCATTTCTGTTGCCATGCCAGAAATTTGCCATATGATCAGTGATGGGGTTCAAATATGTGAACAACCGGTTCTCTGTGAGGATGCCGCTTCCAGAAGTCCATTCTGGGCCTAGGCAACAAAAAATTAGCTACCGGTTCTGCCGAAGTGGTGCGAACTGGCTGAATCCCACTATTGCACATGACACATAAGTGTTTCTCCATTTGACAATGTAGCTTCCTATAGTTTTACTCTTTGGAAAAAGAAAACACAAAGTTGTTCAGGATGAAGTCAGCCAAAAACCCACTTTTGCAAACTCAATCCTAAAACCAAGCCTGCTCAATATTGCACTAGGTTCTGAAAAGATTTACTTAAATATCATTATAATCAGATGGTCAGCCAGCCACTACATATGTAACACAGAAGTAATATTGCATTATATGCGCTTAAAGAAAAGTTTCTGGCTTTGAATGTAGTATGTTTCTACCCTTTTTGGCTATCAAGCACCTGCCTCTTTCATTCTGCAGCTAAGTTTTAATAACTATGAACTTCAGGACTACTTTTTTTGCCTACATCAAAATACAAGCATGGACATGCACGCATGCACACAAACATATGCATTTTTTATATTATTCGTATACATAAAAATATTCCTCCAAGCAGAAGCAGAATCTAAACACAATCCACAGTCAATGGCAAAAATGTGGATGTATGAGATAAAGAACCTTTGTCCATTCAGGCGTTATTGTTTATGTAATTGGTACCATTAATAATTTGTGCCTTGATAATGCTGTTATAGTCACTGCTGCTACTTCTGATTATTACTATTATTTCTATTGTTCTTGTCCCAAAGGTGCTTTTCAAAAGGCAACTGGACTTTCTTTGTTTTTTTCCTTGAAGACTTTTTTTCTTTCTTTGAACTGAAGAAGTTTCTTGGATGAGAAGCATGTAGTATAGTAATAGTAGTAAAGTTGGAAGGGACCTTGGAGGTCATCTAGTCCAACCCCCTGCTCGGGCAGGAAACCCTACACCATTTCGGACAAATGGCTGTCCAGTCTCTTCTTAAAAACTTCCAGTGTTGGAGCATTTACTGCTTCTGGAGGCAAGCTGTTCCACTGATTAATTGTTCTCACTGTCAGGAAGTTTCTCCTTAGTTCTAGGTTGCTTCTCTCCTTGATTAGTTTCCACCCGTTGCTTCTTGTCCTGCCTTCAGGTGCTTTGGAAAATAGCTTAATTCCCTCTTCTTTATGGCAGCCCCTGAGATATTGGAATACTGCTATCATGTCCCCCCTTGTCCTTCTCTTCGTTAAACGAAATGTCTTCAAGGAAAAAGAAATTCCATTCTCTTTTGGAAAAGCACCTTTGGGACAATCATGACCTGGATGGGGGAGAATCTACATAGACATTAATATTATTCTTCCCCTTTTCCTTCCTTAGATGCTGGTCCTGATGCTGGTCCTGAAGAGTCAGTATTCCCTTTTTGTTTGGGGAGCTGGAAAGGAATATCTCACTACTGGATTTACAAAAAACATGGGTAAAACTTTTGAAGAAATCAGTGAGTAAGAATATAAACAACCTAGTATTTATTCAGCATGACAATGTTTCAGACTTATATAATGATCTCAGGAAAGTTTTACTGATGATCAGTATGATTTGGTTCAAAATATTACTTATAAAGAGGAATTGGATTCATTATTTTGGAAGTTGGTTAGAAAAGTTTATTTAAATTTTGAATTAATTATAAACCACCATGCCATCTTAACACTAAACTGTTGTTAAATTAATGGCTGGTTTCAACAAATTATAAGAGATATCTGGTTTATTTAGGTTTGGAATACATTGGAATGGGATGGAATTTAACGGAATGGAACATTGATTGTGAAGGCTTGTTGCTTGGCAAAACAGCATATAACTAACGAGCATAAGTAGTATTAAATTATTGGATTTATTAATGATCTAACTCAGGCAATAATTCCAAACTTATCTTGGCCACATCAATATAAGAGGAAAAAGGAAGGGGGAGGAAAAAAATGACTCTAAATATCACTATAGTTTATCCTGATAATGTTCCTGTCTGTCACACTCAACACTATGAATGCAGTGTTATTTAGAAATGAGATGAATATCTTTATAGGAGACTAAAATATTAGCAGAATCAGTAATACATTATGCAGTATCACTTTAAGGTCTGTGCAAAACATTCATCAAGGCACTTTGCTCATGAATTAAACACCTTTCTGGATCAGCTCCTTAAAGTCATAAGGCCGTTGTAGTCACTCAGTAAAGTTTCTGGAAGGCCCTATCAAGTTATTCAGAAACTGATCTTAGAGTATGCATTCCCAGAAAATTTTGGAAGAGCCTTGAAGCAACAATGTGTAATCTTCTTGCATCTATAACTTTGCTTCATGGCTTTGAGGAGCAGATCCAATAAAATGACTGATTTGTACAGTCTTAACATAGTTCTTCTTTCTTTTCTGGATACAAGACAAATAGCATATTGCCACAACATTTTTACAGAGGACACATTCTTGCTGAATGAAGTCTTTTAAGTTCAAGAAATACTAATGCATCTTTTTCCTAACAAAGAAATAATTTGTGGAATGTTATATGATATATGTAATGTTATTACTGCTTTCCCAGGTTGCTCTTATATGCTTCTTGTCATTATTATTGCTAATCCAACTAGCTTTGTTTCCTGGATGTCACCAGCTTAATTAGACAAGCAACAGTCAAAATGAGGCATCTTCCTGGTTCCATCTTTATGATGCCAAGCTTTGGAGTATTATGAAATGGTTCAGAGAATCAGTCTGGAATACATTAAGAGCAACTAGTTATAATAAAATGCAATATAACCATAGTATCAAAGATGTTACATGTCTGATAAATTCATCATTTAAGGCATGGTGAAATAATAGATTGAAAAGTGGTAGGAATGGAAACAACTCAGTTATACATTTTATGGCAATCTGAGATACCAACATGCAACTTACATCAGAAAGTCTAGACTAAAGTTCCAGACATTCAGCAAAAGGAGAACATGTTCTCTTTTTTGTGTCAGGCATAGCCTTAAAATCAAATACTGTCCAGCTTTTTGAGTGCCTTGCTTATTGTTGTTGTTGTTGTTTTGGGGGACAGGACATTTTCCCAAGAGTGGTCATTTAAACCTTTCTGTATGTGTCCTTCTAAATGTTCTAAATTGTCTGCATCTTTCTTTCCCTCCTCAATCCACAAGCCTGACAATCAGCTTCAATCTATCCCCTCCAACCTTGACAATCTAGCAATCAGCTTCACTCTATCCCCTTCAAATCTATGATGAATGTAGTCTATAGATCACATGACACGGAATACATTTCTACAACAAAATTTTAAAAGTGTCTGATTATTGATTCTTTACTATTGCTGGCATATGTTCTTGAAAATAAAAAATTTATTGGAAAAATATTGCAATGGAAAAACTAGGTTTTTTATGCTAGAAAAAGCAATTTCATATACATTTTTGGCAGTTTTTGTTATAATTTTTGTCAAAGATGCAAAGAATGTTAAATAGTAACTATATCCTCCTTTCTCTCCATTTGTCCTCCTTTCAAATTCTCTGTGCCCTCCTTTGTGTGTTCAGTTATTCTGAAATTTGTCTTGCAAGAATGCTACGAGTGGCAGATATTTCGTGTCCCTCCAATATAAGATTATTAAAGTGTTGTTAGTCCTAGAAGACACGATCAAACCAGTCATTTACTATATACTATTATTACTGAATTTTCTGACATGATCTGACCTCCTTCTTTTCATTAAACTAGATATACCAATTCTAGTAACCGTTCTTTATATGATTTAGCCCCCATACCCTAATCATCAAAGTTATCAAAGTTTCATTTCAAAAATTCTTTTGCATCATTTTTTTTCAGTGTCACAAACTATAAGAAAGTTCATAAGACTTGCAAAGCCAGTATTCTTTTAACTGCATGCAATACCACTACATTATTTTAAAGATCAATCTGATCATGACCGTACCCTTCCTCAGAAAGCAGGTTAATGAAGTAATCACATAACAGACCCAGAGATGCTTCACAAGAAACATTGTAAAATGAAACTGTTAGGGTGAAGTCAACAGGACAAATGGATACTTAAATATTTGAGAAATACTAACCTGCAAGAATAATGCATGTTTTCTTATTGCAAATATTAAAGCAAACAAATCATTATTAATATATTTATTTTGAATGTAATCTAACATGTATGCAATTAAGGGAATTATTTATACTCATTTCAAAATTTTGCACTGTATAATTTGAGTGATCTGTTTTTGCAATATAGCATGTTGAAGTTTTATGTGCAAATATGGGGTCAACCTATTTTCCAAAGCAGCTGAACACAGGACAAGAAACAATGGATGAAACCAGGGGTAGTCAACCTTGGCTCTTTTATGACTCGTGGACTTCAACTCTCAGAATTTGGGAGTTGAAGTCCACGAGTCATAAAAGAGCCAAGGTTGACTACCCCTGGATGAAACTAATCAAGGAGAGAAACAACTTAGAACTAAGGAGGAGTTTCCTGACAATTAATCAGTGGAACAGCTTGCCTCCAGAAGTTGTGGGTATTGCAATGTTGGAGTTTTTAAAGAAGAGATTGGACAATCATATGTCTGAAATGGTATAGGGTTTCCTACCTCTCCAGGGTCCCTTCCAACTCTGTTGTTCTGCTAAGCATTGCATGATGAAGACACTGCATAGGAATATTTTCAAATGGCAATTACAACTTCTATAAAGGGGTTGTGAAATAGGCTCCTTTACAGTTTTTGCTTAAGGCATCACATACATAGTTTTGAATTTCCTTGGGCGTAATTTCCTCTACATGTGCAGTCACATGTAGAGGATTAAAAGCAGTCAACTTACCCACAAAGATTCACAAAGCAGTCAACTTACCCACAAAGATTCACAAAGAATGTTCACGTTTCAGAAAGTAGTGTTAAGAAAGTCTGAATGCCCTTGAGAAGACATGGTAAGACAGCAGATTTGGGACATTAGCTTCATGTATGTTACAAATCTTTATTAATAAATACATTAAATCCCATTTTATTGCATAACGTCTTGTTAACATTTCATGAAAATGCCAGATAAAGTAGTATTTTTCTTTCTAGAATTATATTCCTATTTCATTATATGTTCTATACTCTGTCCCATAGGTCAACTGCAGGATTTAAGCTTTCTGCCTCATTAAAATTTGAGTAGTTAAAACATGGAGAGAGAAGTTGGATAATTCCCTTTTTCAAAGTTATAATTAATGATTCTACCTGATTGCCAGTGTTTCTACAATCCATCTAAAAAAAATGAAGATGGTCAAGGGGTCTAAATGTCCTAAACATAAGACTCTTATCTTTTTGTGCTTCAGTAGTTGAAAAATGCAGAACCGCTACCACCTTCTAGTTGGGTATTTCTAGCTAGAAGCTGCTATCAGAAACCTAAATAACAAAAATATGCAAACTTGCACACTAATTCCCTTTGGAGATAGATCTTGGCTGCAGCCCTGTCATAAATCAGAGAATTTCGATATGAAATGAGGCAAGCAGCTCTAATCATTTCTGCATTTCAAATTGGATCACTGGCTCAATCACGGGGCTTTTTAAACTGCTTGCCTAAGAGCAAATGTGAGGCGGGAGATAATTCTGAAGAAATCTCTTCTTTTGTGGCCATAGAACTCTTTTAACTGTTTCAAGACTGAAGGCCACATTCCAATAATAATAACATATATCTGCTGGAAGAGATATGGATCCTTAAAGACATTTTCTTTCTCTTTCAACTCATAGAATTCCATCAATATCTGCATACATTATGTGTGTGTGTGTGTGTGTGTCTGTGTCTGTGTGCATGTATATGTTTGTGTGTATCTGTGTATGTGCATGTGTGTGTATGTGCGTGTGAAATTTGAAATTGTATGCATAGGATATTTATGTGCATCAATAGGAGGGAGGGAAAAGAAGGGAAAAACATCTGATGTATAACCATCACATATTTTCCCCTATAATTTTCCCCTTCTTTCTAGTTTATTTGATATTGCTTTCAAATGCTCTCTTCCTTTTGTGTGGGTTTTGCATGAAAGGGAAATGATATTATAATATGAACAAAGTATTCCTGCAAGATTTGCTTGAGGTGTTGTCTAACAATCTAGTGAAATTATTTTTCATGTGAATTTTGCTGCAGAAAAACAAAAACAAAAAACATCTAGAATCAAACCCACAGGAAAAAGAAAACCCCAACATTGAAAATGTTCTTTATCAAACACACTGCAGGGTTGAAGTTCTTCTTCCTTAAAAGCACTGATTTTCTATTTTCATATCTTATCTGAACCCCTGGATATGATTTATCTGGGGAAAAATTAGCCTGGATGTCAATTACACTGTAAACAACATCTATCTTGATCCTCATTTTTTTTAGCAGTGAACATCTTTTATTTCTACAGCCCCATTGCAATTTCAGTGTCTTCACTACAGTGCTTCGAAATTGAATTTAACTCTATTATCAGCAGCCTTTTGTAATCTCATGTAAGCCTAATAGTGATCAG